TGTGGATCGGTTGGACGAAACCCTTGGTCCAGGGGTGGACACACACAGGTCGCCGATGTCGGCGCTTTTTCAAAAGCCGGTGGCAGGCGTGGTGGTTGTGTCCTTTTTGGACATAGAGCCTCACTAGCTCGGCGGCAGCAGCTTCAGCGCTGGAGGGTGGAAATGTGTATGTAGAGTGTGGTCATGCATCTCGAATTAGATTTGAGAACTCCGGTATGCGGGCTTGAGTTCTTCTGGCAAAAAGTTCACGGTACAGGTCAAAACAAATCGATACATGTGAGATCAAGCCAAAACTCTTTGCAAGACTGGTCGGAAGGTCTTTCAGTAAAGGGAATAAACTGCCGTGTTTGGGCCCGGCGGCCAGTGCATCAGTTGATTCAAAAGATGTGTCAATGACTTCCAGTGGAAATCCGGTGAAAGGTGGCAAGTTGGGGTGGATGCTTTCCTAAGCAAAGACGGCGCCCCTGTGACGGGGATCACACTCAGCACCCGAGTGGGACGGCTGAGCGAAACACACTCTGACATTGGTTTTCAGTGACTCAGTTACCACGTTGGGAAAATGGTGAGGGAACGGCAAGGTGCATGAGTCGGCCAAAACAGTATTGTTTAAAATTGTTTCCTCAGGTGCAAGTCTGCAGTTGGCGGCTGGCTGCAAATCACGATCGGCTGAAAAGTGCAGTGGAAAAATCCGTTGTTTGGGGGAAGGTAGCATGAAGAAGGACCATGAAAACAACGAACAGCGGCAGGGTGGACCAGTGGAGTCAGTGTGTTGAAAGCAGGTACGTTTTCCTGATCGTCCAGTGTGGAGCTTCGTTGGCAGAGGCCACGACTGGAGATCCCTCTGCCCCCTGCTTATGAAGCGGTGGTGGTACAAATGACATGTGGATCGGTTGGACGAAACCCTTGGTCCAGGGGTGGACACACACACACACACGCAACACTACAAACCATATAACACTACTGGCCAAAGAACACTGGTTACAGGGGATGGCCAAGACATTGCATTCACTTGGAGACAGATGTCCCAAACCTGTGCGCTCAGATGTGGCCTTGCTTTTTCGCTGCTTGGGCGCTGGGTTCTAGAGTGAGCTTGAGAGCGAAGTTGGTCGAAACCTATGAAAGGTGGGACGAGAGAACAACAGGAGACATCCTGCTTAACTTCGCAACATCGCAGGCCGGGAATGGTGGTCACTGTAGTTTTCTTCCTGCGTGCGGTTGACGCCTTTGTTCGCCACCTTGCTTTGCCTCAATGAAGGCTTCCGATGCTGGATTGGCTAGCCAAGCTGCAGCCCGAGCGGCTGAGGCTGCCATTTTGGACAATGTCCAGGTCTCATCACGAGACGTTTCTCGACTTCGGAGGCAAGACAAACAATTGATTTTGGCAAGGCCAAGATATTGAAGGCTGTAAACTTTAGACTTTAGACAATCCAATATCTCTGAACGGCAGAGGTTTTTCGAGTCATATGATTATATATATATATAGAGGGACTTACTTAATTAGTCTTGACAAGTCTTGACATGGACAAGTCCCGAAGGCTCCAGCAGCGGCTTTCTGATGGTACCTACAACCCTGCTTGGTTAGCAGCAAGACGATGGAGGATCACCGCCGGGCGCTTCGTTGCTGTCCGAAGGGTAGCCAGGCACAGGGAGCTTGCCAGAGAGTGGCTGGACCATTGGTGGTACAGGGGCCAAGAGCGGCTGAATCACAAGATCAACAGGTCGTTCGCATTTGAAGACCTGACGCTCGAAAAGTATCAGAATCAACAAAAAGGACTGAGAAGTGTCCAGCATGTGGGATTGCTGGTCGATCCTGATATGCCTTGGTTGGGAGCCTCACCTGATGGTCTTGTGATGTCGACGGAGAGGCCTGAAATGCCGTTGCATTTGATTGAAATTAAGAGTTGCAGAACGTTGTTGGGAAGAAAGTCTCCTGCATGGCATCAAGTACAAGGTGCAATGGCCATTGCATCGGGTGCATTCCACACTCCAGTGACCATGTGCAAAATAATTGATCCTGTGGAAACATATACAATCTACTTTGACGAGTCGTGGTGGAAGAGATTCCTCAAGCGTTTGAAATCTTTCTACTTTGGCATATTCTTGCCAATGGCTGCACAGCAGATACTCCAGAAACTTCGATGAGAAGGCGACTAAGAAAACTTATATATATATATAATCCTCCACTGGATCAAGAAAGTTGATGCTAAGTGCCTAAGTGGCTGCTTTGCTCAGCTCCGTGTGTATGTGTGTGTGCGGAACTCGAATAAAGAAACTGGGAGAGGTCTGCAGCCAGCCCTCAGCGGCTGTCGTTTGAGTCCTTCGCCTGCCAAGATGTAAAAGCCTCAAACAGTTTAGATCCTGGACCAATGCCGAGCAGAACAAGAGATATTTATATAGCTACATTGCATATATTTCCAGAACAGTGCAGGCATGATTGAGGTCATAGAATCAGACATAATATAAATCAGTGGGCTGCCCTTCAGCACATTCAGAAAAGGTGGAAGACAATGAGTGAGCATTGTGGTAGCAGCGACATTTCCTGAATGGCACGTTGTTCCTCCCGCAGCTTTTGAAAAGAACCTGCTAGTCACTCTATGCTCAGATTGCAGGTTTGTCATCGAGGTGGCAATGGTAGCAAAGCTGCAGGAGTAAGCAATAGCTGCGATATGCTGTGATGAAACAATTTTTGCTGGTTTGTTGGGTGTATCACTTTGGGGTTCCTCGGGCAATATCGAGAGTTCGAGAATGTTCGAGGTATATAGGGGTAGGCTAGGCAGATCTCCAGAACCATCGTAGGTTCGAATTTCTGGATGGCTTTACTGTTCATGACATTTTCATTTTCGGTTTTTTTTGCACTGGGTGCAGAGACGGCCTGGTTGGCAGGAAACTCGTTTCCCAGACTCTAGCCAGCCACTGATGGATAATGGATGTACTCCCAAATTCCAGCTCCTTCTGATTTAGTGTATCGGGCGGCATGCCTTGGAACGAACCATGTTGGCAATATCGTAGGGCTTTGCTCTTGACTGGATTGCCAACTATGTTATGTTATGTTATGCAATGCAATGCAATGCAATATATGTATATTATGTATATTATGTATGTAATGTGATGTGATGTGATGTGATGTGATATAATGTGATGTAATGTGATGTAATGGCATGTAATGGTATGTAATCACGAAAGCTAGCATGCTAGCTGAGTTCTTCTTTGCTTTAGCAATTGGTAGTGGAATGAGCTGCGTGCCTTAAAGCTTGATATATCACACTAAGGGGGGGGGCCTGGCCCCCCC